TGTGATGGGCTGTCAGTGTTTACCCACAGCAGGGCCTTTTCAGCTGTCTGCACTGCTCATCCCGAGTTGTCACAATAAGCACTTTTTAGCACACCTTTCTGTCAAATGCCAGAAATTAAGGCACTTTGCGCCCATTGTTTGTCTGATATGAATGAACTCCAGTGACAAGTTCTTCCCTGGCTGACATCCTAACATCAGGGTGCTCTGGCTTGGACCCCTTTGCTTGTTAAAAGTTCTTGGTATACTTATGCCCCTCCCACTTCAGACACGCTAGTCTGACTTTGTCATTTTCCAGAAGCATCCTGGCAGCACAGTGCCTTGCATCAGCGCCCTGGGTGACCCACCTTCGGGTGCAGCAGCGGCTGGGGACTGACAGCACTTCCCGTGTTGGTTTCATTGGCCGATGCACAAGGCAGGTCCTTGGTGGAGATGTCAGTCATGTAGGGAATGGCAGGGAGCCCAGGCAAATGAGGCTTTTCCCCATCCCTGACCTCCTCCCTGACTGCTCAGACCTAAGGGCATAGTGGGCTGGAACTTAAAACACTTTATTTCCAATGTCTGGTCTCAGGATCCTGGTTCTTCTTTACTGGGTGGGTCATTTGTTCAGTTTTTCCTGGGAAATAATGACATTGTAGCCAACAGCCAGCATTTGCTGGGTGCTAACTCTATTGGACTCTCTGGGTGGGCAGGTTCCAGAGCAGACTGCCTGAGATCAACTTTCTAGCAATGTGGCTTGGCAGAATCACCTCTCCTCTCACTGCCTCAGTTTCCTTATATATAAAAAGAGGCTTTGATAACATTTCCCTCTCCCTCCTACGGTGCTGAGAGCATCAAATGGGGTGATAGACTTACAGTGCCTTGCTTAGTGTTTGGGGCATAAGAGACATTCAGTAGCTGCTGGTGAATTCAGATCTTAGCAACGATATTTGTTATGGATGTTATTATACCCCATCTTATGGATGAGAAAACTGAGACGCAAAGGGGAAGAGATGGAGTGACTTGCTCATGGTCACAGAGCTGGTAAGTGTCAGAGCTGGAGCTTGAACCTGGTTTTCCTTAATCTGAGTCTGTTCCCTTCTGCAGAGCACAGAGCATAGCATTGTGCAAAGCCAGCCGTGTACCAGATCCTGCCTGATGATTTATATATTATCTTGATATTTGGGTTGTGTGGAGTACAATTAATCAGTAGCTTACAAAATGTTCTTTAATGCAAGAATGAGCTCAGCCTCAGTTTCCCCATCTGGAAGATGAGGCATTTGGGCTTAGGTGATTCCTGTGATTCAAGACTCCAGCCCAGGCAGCATGGCAGCCCAGGTTGGGGGCGGGGGGGTGTGTCCTGGGCCCACCAGGTGCATGCCTTTGGGAATTCACTTATCGCTCTGAGTTCTAGTTTTGTGAGCTATGCAAGGAGGATAATGTTTCCCCCGACAGAATAGTTAGAAGATTGGACAAATGTGAGGAACGCCCTTCACACATAGTAGGTGCTTAATCCATGACAGCTGCCACTGACATTTCTGTGACTTATTCATGCTCCTGGGTACGAGCCCCCTTACTTCCTCCTTCATCTCTAGAGAAAAGGCATTTACCATGTTTTCTTAATGCTTCTTACTTCTAAGGTGAGAACTGCCATAACACCATGGTTAAAAGCATAGAGCTTGATTTAAACAGTCTGGGTACAAATCTTCACTTTATCACTTATTAGCTGTGTGACTTTCAGCAGGTTGTTTAACCTCTCTGTGCCTTAGTTTCTCATCCATAGAGTAAGGATGTCTAAGTGTGTTAATCTGCCTCAAGTACCTAGAACAGACCATGGCCCTTGGTAAGTTTTCAGAACATGCTAACCCTGCTTATCTAATTTATGTATGCATACTGAGCAGCCCAGTTCTCATAACTAGTGAGGGAAGCTCAAACCTGAAGAGAGTTCAGTCTGTCCCCTGCATCCCGCCACAGTGATTGGCTGGAACTCATTGTTCTGGTCTCAGGTCCCATTTAATAAGCACTAATGGGCTCGTTCCCAGGATTTTCAAGAAAATTTTTAAGCCATGGAAAAATGAACCTGAGGGAAAACAGTCCCGGGGAAATTTTCCTGCCCCTTTTTGTCCTCCATATCCACATCTGTTTGGAAGTAGAAGTAATCACTCCCCCCTCCCCCCACCTCTTGTGTCTCTGTGTCCATCTTGACCCCTGTGGCCTCGGGCGGCAGAAGAGCTGCCGCTAAAGGCTTGCGTGGGAATTGTGGGAGGGGTGTACACCAGGCGTAATTCAGTCTGGTTTGCCAGGTGAAAGGGGGATTCATTTCTCTTTTCCTCAGTTCCGAGGTGCTTTTGCCCAGAAGGAAGTTGTTTTCCTAATGTGTTGGCTTCTGGGGCTAATGTCTTAACTCCCATCTTCTTAGTTGGAAAATATTTGTAAAAAGGGGAGCAAGTGATCAATGTAAATATGTCTCTATCTATGCTGATTTGAAGACTGTGCTGTCCAAGGATATGGAAGATCTGTTTTCAGGAAGAAGAAAGGGGATTGGAGCCCAAATGTCGCTAGGATGTGGGGAGGAGAGAAAGATGGCCACACAGTCATGTGCAGACACTTCTGTGGCCTTCTGAGTGGGTGCTTCATCTGATGCATTCCCTCATGTAAAGCTCATGAGCTGGGGAGCCCTGGCCCTCCTGGGTGCCTAACATTGGCCCAGGAAGCAGTTTGTCAGTGGTTCTAGAAAAGAGACCAATGTGCATCTACCTAGGAAAATCCTAGAATGGGTGAAATGAAGTGCATTCTGGTTGGGCTGTCAGAGTGAGGATCTGTTAGAAGCAGGGGAGCTGGGGCAGGGAGCAGTGCTCAGGGAGACCCCTTGGCTATCAAGCTGTGAGCCTGGAGCCTCTGGGTAGCCCTAGTGCCTTTTCCAGCCTCTCCTCGTGGGCCTGGAGATGTCAGTGCCCCCTGGTATCTCTGTCTTCTCTTGGTTGGTACACTCCTGCTCAGGATCTCCTGTAGGCAGTCTCTGAGGTAGGGAAAATCATATCTTTTCAGGGGTTTTATTCAGTCTAACCTTAGAGTACGTCATCTGGGATTGTCTTGTAATGTTTCCTTCAGTTTCGCATTGTTCTCATCTTTGACTGTCAGTGGGGTTATTGTGGTGCTGTTCACTGCTCACTGAGCTGCTTTCCCCTGTTGGGGAGTGTGTGGCCTGCTCTGCATGCCTGAAGTGAGAGGAAACAAGGAGCTGGGGGCTTTTATGACCTTAACCATAACTTTGGACGTCAGCAAGCAAGGGCTTCAGTCATCACTCTTTCAATACTGAATGTGTGAGTCAAAACTCTGACCCAGTGTTTCTCAGTCACCAGCATCAGTATCATTTGAGACACTTGTTTACAAAATGTAGATTCTCAGACACGTCCTGTGAGTATACTTGAGGGACTCAGCATTGTAACAAGCTCAACTGTTATTCAAGGGTGAGAGCCACCCAGGAACTCATGGGAACTTCTGCAGATTTGCTGTAACTCTTTACTCCACAAGTGAGTCTTGCCTTTTGCAGTCGCCTCTGGGGAAATCCTCTGCTCCAGTTCTGAATCTCCTCTCATACAGCTGCCCTTAGACTTGTTGTATTCTTGCGAATGCCCTCCATGGTGATAGGACTTGCTCATTTGGTGTTTAAACAGCTAATTGATTCAGGGCCACAGCTGATAAGGAGGCTCATCAAGCTGGTGACTACCATTGTGGTGGGAAAGAGACTGGCCAGTAAGGAGAGGGGTTTTCTCATGTCTCATGAACTGCCTCTAAGGACAGTTCCCGAAGAGGAGACCCCAAGATGTGCTGAGCTCTGGCAGCCTGGTTGTAGCAAGAATGTAGAACATCGCCAGTCATTTTGAAAGCCTGTGTGCATTTCGGTGATTTCTGTGTTTATAACAGAAAAGTGTCTTCCAGCAGTGCCTTAGCCCGATTAGAAAGCCCCTTTCCACAAAATGGCATTGCATTAGCGTACAGGTGGAGATTTCCAAAAGTGTGAGCAATAGTTACCATACCCCACCCTTCCCACCACTGTCTATTAGGCCATTTGTGGATTTGCAAGATATTTAGTCCCTTCCAATATTATAATACCTGAGATGTTATAATCATAAGGAAGTAACTGAAATACTTTTTTCTTGGTTGCTAGAATGTCAAAAACAACTTACTAATTGTAGAATGTTGAATAAAGGCTAGATATGGTAGGCAGAAAACCTGGTCTCTAAAGCCTGGCCTTGCTACTCATACCAGCTTTATGTCATTGGGCACATCATTTAGTCCCCAAGCCTGGCAAAGATAGTCACCGAGTCATCAGGAGGATTTAAAGAGACGCCGGGACCTGATGCTACCCAAACATAGTTCCTGCCTCATGGAGGGTTCTGTAATGAGTGTTGCTTGCATCTGAATCCCACCAGCTTGATTCATTAAACACTTACTGCACTTTTGTGTGCTTTGGGTCAGGGAAGGGGAGGGGAGGGAGGAAAGGAAGAGAGGTGGCAAGCAAAAGGATTAAACTCTGCTTTGCAGAGGAAATGAAATTCAGCAAAAGAACACCAAAGAGAATGGATCGATTGACTCTAAGCAAGTCCAACGTGCTCCCATGTTGCCAGAGAGCTGGGGATGGGAGGCCAAGTGTTCTTTTACCCTTCTGCAGGGGAGGATGTGAGGGTGTTGCTGGCAAAGCTGAGTCATCACGATTATAGGTTATCTTTTCTGTTTAAAAAGCCACCACTTTAAACGTGGCTCCCAGCAATTACTTTTTTAAGTCTTCAGAGTCTCTAAGTATAGATACAAATCCTTTCTTTCTTTCTTTGAGGTCAGGAGTTCAGTAAGATCATTCAACTAGTGAGTCTAAATGAAACTAACTTGAACTAATTATCAGTCAGCCCTCTGATAGCAAACTGCTGTCCTCATAAGGGATTATTTGTTATTTTTTTCCAGGCAATTTCTTTCCTCACACCCCTGGCTGTTATTTGTGTGGTGAAAATTATCCGGCGAACAGACAAGACTGAAATTAAGGAAGCCTTCTTAGGTAGAGTATTCACAGTTCCTGCTCTAGGGGATGGGGCTGGACTTAATTAGATCAGTAGATTTTAAAAATCTCTGTTGCACTCAACTGATTTTTCTCTTGGTCAAATTAAGCTTGGGAGAAACAGGGAAAGGTAAACTTTCAACCCTAAGAAGAGCCAACACACAGATGGTGAGCACCTCACCTTCAGCAGCAGCCTTGTCGCTGTCCTTTGTGCTGAATGTGAATGTCCAAATACACGTCTGAGCTCTGTGCTGCTCAAGCACAGCTACAGGGTAGCTCTTAGCCATGAGGCAAAGAGAATCTGAAACTGTCACCATTGACTGTCCAATCCCACATCTGTGGCTAATAAGCCCACGTTACGGGCAATTCAGAAATCAGCCATAGACTTCTTGACTAATCACCATTGGCTAGAGGCACAAAGATCAAAAGCAGATATAAAATAAAATAGAAATTGGAAGTAAACTCCATAGCTCACTCTTTGGGGGGGGGGAGGATTTTGGCAGTTAAGCAACTGTTACTGTATAAAGAGTGCCACAATCTTTGCCACTGATTTCTTTGCCACTGATCGCAACACCATTGTTACAAATTCTCCCCAAGCTAAGCCATAGCTGCATGTGACACGAGTTTGACATTTTTAAGATTAAATCCATTTTTATGATCTTCATATTAGTTAAATAACTGAGTAGATGACAGTATTAAGAGAAAGCAAAGCTAATTGGCCTGTTTCATAACCGAAATAAACTACCCAGTAGTCAGGTTTTCAGCTTTTTGATCATCAGGAGAACTGAATTATGTTTATTTTTTGACGCCTCAATAAAAACTATCCAAACCCTCACACAAACCACTTTTGGTATTTTGTATGGACTTACCATTCATTCAGTTAGATTATCATATCTGGAAAAATGAGATTTCCCACCTCCAAGGGTATGTTTGTAAATTATTGGGCTTGGAGGAAATGGAAATGTAGCAAAATATGGTCTTCTCTCTCCTTGGTGCAGGGGTGAGGGTAAGGTCAACATCTGGGGCATGCAGAGCAGCGAAGGGGGCTTTGTGCTCTGAAGCAGGACAGGGAACATTTCTTACATAACCAGGCTTTGGTTGGGCCTTAATTGAACAGAGCAGAATCTCTCTCCAATTAGCTCATATAAATTAGGGGTTAGTTACAGGGTTGTATCAGCAATCTCACAAATATCCAAGAATAGGGGGAGAAAGGACAGAGGAGCATCGTGGGGACTGGAATTGGGAGCCGGGCCATCAGGGGTAGAGATACATTCCTCTCCGTAATGTGCCTTCCCTCTTCCCCTCACACATCCTGCCTAATCCCCCAATGTGGCCATTATTTCTGCTGCCTCATGCCTTTGGTTTCTATGAGGCTTGGACTTGCAGTGGTGGGCACTCCTGTCCCACACCTGTAGGACCATCAGCTCCAGTGCCCACCTCCAAGTTGCTCTGTCTCGTGGACCACACTTCCCAGGCAGACCCTCTGGTTCGATTCATTTTCACACCTGGACACAAAAGTCATTAGTCTCTGGTCAGCCTGTAGATGCCCAGCCTTGGGTCAGGTACATACCCAGGCTGCTTATCTGTGGTTTGGGGATTTGGCAATCACATGGTCTCAGTCCCCTTAGCTGAAGTGGCAGAAAGGTCCGGTTTTCCAAGGAGGGCATAGGTGCCCTCCCCATGTAGCTTGAGCAGCCAGGGCAGTGTTGGGCTAAATATCCCTGTGGTCCCTGAAACGTCCTGCTGGCAGCCCCCTCAGCTGACCTGGAAATCCCTTTGCCTCTCTTTTTATTCTAGTTGCTCCCCTGGCACGGAGTCCCTAGATGATATGAGTGTGGGTAAGAGCGGTCTCTCATGGTTATGGTTATAATTTACTGCCAGCTTTTGGAGTGGTGTGTTGTCGTGGCAGTAAGTTACTTCTCTAGACCTTTCCCTTTTCCGCTAAATCTCCCTTGGAGTGACATTTCAAAATTGCACACCATACCCTGCCTTCTATATGTTAACAGAGAAGGTGGAGTTACCAAATGTTCTGTTTGCCTAAATAGATGAGAGCCTGCCCGGGGAGCCTCCTGTTGTACACAGCTTTTTTTTTTTTTTTTTTTAATCACTTCTTTTAGGAAGCCTTGGAAGTAGGGAGCGAGGGACTGATCTTTAAAAACCAAGGACAGAAAACCAGGTGTAGCATTTCCAATGTTATCTGGAGTTCAGGACTTTCTCAGAGTGGTTTAGTGCTCAGGTCCCTTCTTTAGCAGACCTGAAACCCCAAGACCTCCTCTTATCTACATGTGCACAGTGGCCACCTTTGCACATCTGCTGTGGAACAAGACAGGTGAGGTTTGCCCGTATGTAGCATCCAGCTTTTGGGGGTTTCGGCTGCAGAACAGCCAGTTGGTCTAATAGAGTCCCCTGTTATCAACCAAAGTAACAACAAAAACCCTCTAATCCTCGGGGATGCATATGAGCAGTAGAGTTCTCAGTACAGGCCACCTGCGGGCTAACTCACAGGACACATTACTTTGAATTTCTTTATTGGACACAGTCTGGTTTGTCGTTTTGTCTCTTCTCTCAAACCCGCAGGGCTGTGGGATGTTGTAAACACAGCTCTTATGAAACAGACCCACTGGGTTATTGTTAATCAACAAGCATTCCTGATTGGGGCCATTCATTTCCTGCTCAGCCAGTCTTTCATGCCTCTGATCTGGGCCCAGCCTACCCTCTGGTGTTGGTGAGAGGCCCCCACAGTGGTCCCCTAGGGGTTGTACTATTCAGAGGAAAATAGTCAGTTTGGTTTACTTCCAGAATGCTGAGATGACTTTCACCCTAAATATCATCACTCCAGAGCCCCATTGTTTTCTGTCTCCTTCAGGCTTTTGGATCAGAGTGAAGTTGCCAGCTATTGGCAGTTATTATCACATCCACACGTTTTCTAGCTCAGCTACTTGAAACTTTTCAAAGAACTGCTCTTGGCTACAATGAGGCCAAGCCGGTGCTGAGGCTGGGGTCATGTATGGTGTTCTGGATTGATGTAGCGGTCTGTGAAGTTCCCCAAGGGCATTGGGAGATCTGCTGGTGATGCTTGTTTCCAGAGACCGCCTCTGTGCTAAGGCCATGCTAGGACCAGGATCAGAAGGAGGCCGGCCCAGCTGGGAAAACACAGTCGTGTTCCCAGGAAAAGACCCCAGTCCTGCAGGCTGATCTCACAGCCTGCTAATTGTCTTGGCTCTGGGGAGAATACAGCAGTGAAGATAGTCCAGGGCATTTTCTCCTCCTCTCTGCAAAGGAGACCTCTCAGCGGTGCTCTGAGCTGGCAAGAGAGAAGGGAAGCCAGCATTTTAGAAGAAAGGGTCTGTGCGTGCAGAATGGGATCAGAAGAATCCTAAGATCTCTCTGAATTCCTACACAATTTATCCATCCAGTTGGCTGCTCGGTGTGTTAATGGCGGTGCTGTGCTCCGACTCCTGCTCCATTCTGTCCACCCCCGGGGCGCATCCGTCCCCTCACCGCACTCAGATACAGCCCACTGTGGCCCATCTCTAGCTTAGGTGATTAGTTTTCCTTTAACAAAGGTATTCATTTGAACTGGTCCTTCCCATTCTCTCTGCTTCCCATGACTTGCTAAAAGCAGATCGGTTTTGTATCAATCTCTGGCCAGTGCCCTTGATGACTGTGTCAGCCATTGCACTCTACTTTCTGCTCAGAGAACACATTTGTCTCCCTTGATGACCATGCATTGCTCTAGGCAGCTCCTTCCCGGAAATGTCCCTCCACAGCTGTTTTCTTACATAAATCTCAGCTACTATTGAACAGTTATTGGTTGCCAAAGGGAAATGGTAGCTCACGTGCTTTGTCATTCAACAAAGCGCTGGAGCGGGGCATCAATAGGTTTTTTTTTGCTTATGCAAGGCATTTGACCTTCCATCACATTGACTCGCCTTTTGTGCAGTTTTGATAAACATAGGAGAGACCTGTGAGGTACCCTTTGAATGATCTGTACTTTATCCAGTAAAGTCCTTCCAAGCTGCTTAGAGAAAGTCCCCATGCTGTATATTTTTAAATAATGTATTCCAGAAGTTCCTTCTGCCTCAGGTGGCAAAAATCATGCCCCCGGGCAAACCTTCTCAAAACCCAGGGAGGTGTTGGAACTGTTTACCTTCTCAGAAAGTGATTTGTTTGATAACAAAGGGACTTTGTCAACAGGTGATGGGTCAACACAGAGATAATCACCGAGTGGGAATGTCCTACTCTAAAGAAGGATTCCAAGAGCTGCTCTGATTAGAATTATGTTTGAGAACATTGCCAGAAACGGATAAAAAAGTTATGTTTCTTGCTACCAGTAAAAGAATCTCTATATGCTATAGTATTAAATCTGTTCATATCAGGCCAAAACATAACAGATGGGTTCCTTTCCAAAATTAAAAATTTTAGTCAAGGAGGAGAGAGAAATTTCATGTCATAGGAGCTTGGGATTTTATGAGCCGCTGTCCAAAGTCTTGCCTTAATTATATTTTACTCTAGCCACTCAGACTTCCCTCTGTCTTTTAAACTATTGGCTCATATGTCCATGGTCATAATCGAATGGTATGATGATGTAACAGTGATGATGATGATGCTGATGACTGTGGATTGAGAGCCAGCTGGTTATTTTTCTGTCTGTTGGTTTTGTTTTGTAGCGGTGTCCTTGGCTCTTGCTCTGAATGGCGTCTGCACAAACACTATTAAGTTAATAGTGGGAAGGTAAGTTCCAGAAAGAAACATATGGTGGCTTAGACTCTCAAGGTCATCTGTGGATTGGCATTTGAGCTTTGGCTTATGGCATATTTCTGTTGCCCCCCTGGGACACAGTTTCTGTTCTCAACTGCTCCAGAAGTGAGCTAGTTTCCATAGAGATGAACAGTCAAAAGACCTGAATTTGAGGCCTGACTTTGGCTGTTGGCCTTGGACAGGTTAGCTCCCCTCTCAGAAGCTCGGCATTTACTGATTATCTACCTGGTGGAGGGTGCTGGCCAGGCACCCAGGGGGCAGAAGGTGGATACAAATTGGGCAGCGCATGATGTGGGGCGGGTCTCTCTCTCTCAACTTTCTGCGTTAAAAGTTGCTGTGGGGCCCCGTTAAAATGCTGGTTCCCAGGCCTTGTCTGCTCTGAGGTTCTGGTTCAGTAGGTGAATAACCACACTTGGAGAAACACAAGCCGAGTAGGGGCGGGGAGAGAGTACACCAGAAGTTCTGATAGATTACTGATACTGATTATTGATATCTTACAGATATTGACAGATTATTATTGGGCCTAGATCCCAGAGCTGGAAAGACCAGGGTGTCAGTGTGACCCAGTATGTGCAGAAAAGGGGCCCTGTGTTTATAGCACTAGCAAAGCCTTGCCCATGGCTGGCCTTCAGCAAATATTAGTTGAATTAATGGGAAGGGATTGTCCATCACCCCTCTGTGTGAGAATCCTCAGCGGAGGGAGGCAGAAAAACACGGGGTGAAGTGTGTCGGTGCAGGAATCCAATCACTGGGGTTTAGGCTTGCCTTTGCCACTTACTGGTTGGATGTAACCTTGGGCAGGAGTGTAATCTTTCTAAACCTTCATTTTTGCACGGGTCAGATGAAGAAAGTCCCGGGGTTGGCATAAGAATCACGTGATCCGATGCACGTGCAGTACTTGGCACTGTGTGAGGGTACCCAGTGAGGGCTCCGTAAGTGCCAGTGTGCCTGCAGCCGGGGGCTCGACCTTGGGGCCAGCTTTGGCCCATGTCCCGTGAGGTCTGTCTCCCCAGACCCGGGCCAGGGAGGCCAGCCTGGATGGCCGTGCACTCTGCATCGTGGAACTGAGCTGTTGGGTCCTCTGTTTCAGTGAGGTTAGGTGAGACCTGCTATTCAAGGAGGGGCGATTGACCATCCAAATTCAAGACGTAGGGACATGAGGAGCCTGGAGTCTGGGGTTCTGGAAGCAGCGTCTGAGTGGGAGCTGTTGATGGAGGCAGGAACTACTTCTACTCCCCCCGCGCCGTGCTTAGCTGCCTCCTATCAGTCCTCTCGTCCGGCCCTCACGACCGCCCCTTTGGGTGGGTATTCATGTCCCCTCTTACAGATGTGGAAGCTGAGGCTGGGGGAGGCTGTGTGACCTTCCCAAGGTTAGAAAACTAATAAATGGCAGAGTGGGAGTTCCAACTCAGAGCTTTCTGACCCCGAAACCTGAGCTTTCCCCAAGACCACCATGTCTGGAGTGGTCCCCAGGGAGCACCGGTATTGATGGCAGGAGAAGGAGCTGGGGGCAGCAGGGAATGGTGGGGGTCAGCTGGGGGTTCCTCTGTGATGGCAGCATTTTATATTGAAAATGTCCATGGTGTCTTTTGTAGACCTCGCCCCGATTTCTTTTACCGCTGCTTTCCAGATGGAGTGATGAACTCAGAAATGCACTGCACGGGGGACCCCGATCTGGTGTCCGAGGGCCGCAAAAGCTTCCCCAGCATCCATTCCTCCTGTAAGTTCGGTGGCTGGGACTCTCTTTAATTTCCAGTCGTGTTTCCTTACCACTTTCCTTGGGAGTTTCAGTGGAGAGGAAAGTACTGGGACACGAATGTCGAGCACAGTTCACTCTTCTTCCCTGTAGGCTTAGAAACAAGAATTCGACAGGAAGTAATAAACCTGCAGACGAGGCTCTAGAGTTTACAAGACATTGTACATGTTGCTTCTTTGAGCTTAGCGGAGCGTGACATGTGACACTTTACCCTTTGGCAGTATGATTCGGGAGCTTAACAGTGCAAGGGAGTTTACCATGTTCCCTGGGACCTTGCTTTTCAGCTCCATGTTCTCTCCAGTTCATTCCTTCAGTGATGGTATTGTGTGTGTGTACCAGCGTAGAGCATATATATGTACACACACACACACACACACACGCCTCAATATGTAGTCTGGTTATAGATGTGCAGGCTGGGACCAGCCTCAAAGCCAAGACGAAATAATATGAATCAAGTGCAGGGTGGTGTAGTGGAGAGAACACGGGTCTTTGTCGCGACAGACCCTGGCTCTGCCAGGTCTTAGCTCTGTGACTTACCCGCTCTGGCCTCAGCACCTGCTCTGTACAGTGGGAACGATGCTGCCTCCATTCCTGGTTGGAGTGAGGGTTAAAATAAGTGATGATGGTCGCTGACATTTGGAACAGCTGCCATGACAGCGTGGGTAGGGCATTATCTCATTTAATCCACTCAATATATATGTGAAGTACTTAATATGGTGCTTTAAATCTACAGTACTTGTCCATATTGTCTGTAACCAGAGCTGAGGTTCCAGAGTATTCTGGTTTGTTCCAGCAATGTTTATTGAATGACCGAGGTGCCAGGCACGGTGCTAGGTGTTGGGGACACAGAGATAACTAAGACACAGCTCGTGTCCTGGGGACTCTCGAGGCAGTGGGATACTGTATATTTAGGTTGGTGACACTGGGATCATTGGAAAACCGTAGCCACAGGCGGCCACTTGGGAGAGGCCGTTCTTGTGACCCGAAGTCCTTGATTTCTCACAGGTGTGACGTTATCAGCCGCTAGCAGGCCTGTTACCTTGATCTTTTCTGTTTTTTCTAAGTATATAAGACATTCCCTGATAGCGGCTGGATCAAAGTCTCTGGATGCCTTTTCCTGCAGTGTTTGTTGAGTATTTTGCTCAGAGCTCTTAGAGATTGGAGCCCTTGCAACAAGATATTGGGGTGCCAGGCGCTCTATGTGAATTACCGTTAATCTGTACGACGGCCTTGCCAGGTCAGGTGGTCCCCATTTTACACGTAGGGACAGTGAAGCTCAGACAGACTCCATAACTTGTTCAAGGACACTTAGCTGACCTTCATACCAGCCTCTAACTCGATAGTGTCTGAGGGCTTACCGTGATGAAATACGATGAAGTAGCCCAGGTTCATTTAAGTAAATAACTCATATTCTTGTCTGGTTTGTTGGAGACTATAGGGGGTTGAATAATGTTCCCCCAAAAGGTATGTCCGAGTCCTAGCCCACGGAACCTGTGAACATGACCTTATTTGGAGAATCGTCTTTGCAGATGTAATTGAATTAAGGATCTCAAGATGAGCTTATCCCGGATTTACAGATGTCCCCGTTAGAGAAAGACATAGGAATATTTGAGATGCAGAGACACAGGTGAGAAAGCCCCGTGAAGACAGGGGTGGAGATTGGAGTGGTGCAGCCACAAGCCAAGGAACCTGGGGCCACCAGATGCTGGAAGGGGCAAGGAAGGCTCCTCTCCTGGAGCCTTCAAAGGGAGCATGACCCTGCCCACACGTTGATTTCAGAATTCTGGGCCCCTGAATGCGAGGGACTACATTGCCGTTGTTCTCACCAGGCTGGTGGTCATTTGTTATAGCCGCCCTGGGAAAAGGATATAGAGGCTTAGACTGAACACTTCCCAGCTAGCGGAAAGCCTTTGACTTTAGAGGCTTGGGGGAGTTGAGAGAAAATGCTTACTTGAGTGTGCTTCGCCAGAATGCCCACTGAGGTTCACGTGGCAAGGGGCCAGGCACCTCAGGAAGGTGGAGGCCCCAGGGTTCTCTGAGGCCGCTCGAGGTAGGACGTCCATTTGGAATCACGTCCCCTCTGGGTGTGTTTGTGTTCTCTGAAGTGTCATTTTAAGGAGGAGTCGCAGGTGCCTGCTGGAGGAATGCCTGCTCCCCTGAGCTCCGTTTCATAGTCTGGCATTTTTGTGCTGGTACTGTTGAGAGGTCCCCGGAATAGCGTGTACCGGGGCTTGGCTCCCTTCTGCTCTCCAGCTCTGTCCTTGTAGGGTCCCTCAAGTTCTCTGTTGTTTAGGGCATGTTCTGTCCTCCCAAAGACTCAGTGCTGAGCTCGAAGGGGCTTCCAAAGCTCAAAGCAGAAAGAAGTGAAACCCTGACCCCTGGCTTTCGGGTGGCTGACCGAGGCCTGCCAACACAATTTCGTATCCAGTGTTGCATTTGACATTGGGCAGGAAGTAGCTGTCATGTGAATAACTCAGCCCAGAAGACTGCCGGTCCTAGAGAGTAGAGGCCAAGCCCCACAGAAGTGTTTCTTTGAGAAGCACACCTTCCCTGTCAGGTGCATTTTCTGACAGGGCTGCCCACCAGCTGCCCTGTCGAGTGCGTGGCTGACGTCCCATCTGTGCCAGACCAGCTTTTTGACAGAGGCTATGACTATCTTTTGCTTAAGACACTGCTTAAAATGTTACGGATTTTTACTACTTGGCAGACACGGGATCCTACCCAGCCTCTAGGCTTTGATGACAGTATTTTTATCTGTTCTCTTTCTTTGTTGTGACAGGTCAGTGACTGCCTTACAAGGAGCTGCCAACAGCCACTTAGAAAAACCATCGGTGCTATTCTTTGGATTCCTTATTGTGGCTAATAGGAAGTGGTTGGCATGACTCTTGGCTCTTGGAGGAGGTGCTGGACCTCAGAGGGATGAGCTTAGTGGACCCCCAGTGTGATACACACACTCCTTCTCCCTTTGTAGGTTGCACGGGAGTGAGTGCACACAGGCGTTCTGGGCCACGGGATCTCCTAAGACGAATTCCTCATGCTAGATAATCACAGCTTTGCTTCCGCTCTGTTTATAGATAATTGGTGACTGGAAGGTAGTCGATGTCCACATACCATCCTGCAGGACAGTTGATTTTCTTTGAACCTAAGAACAAACATTGGTTTCTTTTGGAGACAAAAGGTCTTGTGCTTAGTTGACCATAGGCAGTCAAACAGCACTCTGCTAAAGTGCTCACGTGGCATCCAGCCCTCAAATGGCGTGTCCCACAGCAGCCATCTTGTGGGACTTGCTCCATAAGGCAGCCCAAGCCTCCCTTGTGGGGAAAAACAGTCACACTTTCAAAGAGCAAGTGGTTTCCTCTGGGAAACTTGGGATTTATTTATTTTTTTTAGTTTTAAATATTTATTCATCCATTTATTTTAGAGAGAGAGAGAGAGGGCACATGCATGCATGCTAGTGGGGAGAAGTGCAGGTGGAAAGGGAGAGAGAGAATCCACAAGCAGACTCCCTGCTGAGTATGGAGCACAACGCTGGGCTCAATCCCATGACCGTGAGATCATGATCTGAGCCGAAACCAAGAGTCGGCTGCCCAACCCACTGAGCCACCCTGGTGCCCCCAGAAACTTGGGATTTAAAGTAGAGAAAGGCAATATAGCTTTAAGGCAGGGATATTCTGAAAAGGGAATTGTCTTTCATTGCAGTCTTGGCTTTTGATTGGATATTGTTTCACATTCCAGAAAGAGGATAGCTTTCAGAGAGAAAAACAGAAAAAACCAAATTATTAATGCCAAGTCAAGCTATTAAGAAACTTCTTTCCTGTGAAAATGGCGAGAATGCATAAAGTGGTATTGTTGTTCATGGATCAGCAAACAACAACCCATGGGCCAAATCCGGTGCCTGCTTGTTTTTGTAAATAAAGTTTCATTGGAACAGTGAGATGCCCATTTGTTTATGTATTGTCTATGGAGGCTTTCACATTCTAATGGCAGAATTGTGTAGTGCCAAGGGAGACATGGTCCACAAAACTGAAAACGTGTTGCTTATGCTCCAAACAAATAGTATTGAAAAGCATTACCATGGTGGTTGGGGCTGGGGGCAGGATAACAGGCAGAGCACAGAAGATTTTTAGGGCAGTGAAACTACTCTGTATGATACCAGAATGGTGGATACATGTCATTATATATTTGTCGAAAGCCATAGAATGCACAGCAGTAAGAGTATGTAAACGACGGGCTTTGGGAGATGATGATGTGTCAGTGTAGGTTCATCAGTTGCAACAGATGATGGGGGATACTGATAATGAGGGAGGCTGTGCACATGTGTGGGGGCATATGAGAAGTCTCTACCTTTCTTTTTTTATTATTTTTTATTTAAAAAATTTTTATTTAAATTCAATTTAGTCCACATACAGTATATTATTGTTGAGTTTGATGTGTTCCCTTTTGTGTGTCTCTCTTTGTCAAATAAATAAATAAAAAATCTTTCAAAAAAATTTTTGCTGTGAACCAAACTGCTCTGAAACATTTAAGTCTGAAAAAAAGCATTACTAAAGCAAGACCAGTGCACTTTAATTGTACACACAGATGTTTCATTTTTAAACAACTCCATTATATTTTTTAAAGGGGGCATTTATAGGATAATCAATAATAACTTGTGGGATACACTCTTTAAATGGCAGACAAGATTTAAACGGTGTGTCTGGCTGATGATGGTTTAACAGATTCTTCTTGAGCCCTTACTGTTTTGTAGGTACGGGGTTGGTACTCTGAGAGGGTACAGGATGGTCAGACAGGGCCAAGTCCTCTTTAGGGCAAGGATGAATACCAGGTGCATTTACCACGGTGGTCTGGAACTTGGGGACTAGGAATTCCAAGCAGGGGACAGGAAAAGCTTTGGGAGGAAAAGCACTTTCTCCTATCATTTCTGAGGAGGGGGAGGGTGTATGAGCTACAATGTTTTGAGAT